AGGCCGTTTTCCACTGGGCGAATTAATTCGCGCGAATCGAAAATTTTAACCAATACGCAAACACAATTGACATTCTCGTGAGGAAAATTAAACTGCGCATGCCCATAGGCGAAACGGCCTTTACGCATTTTTTGTTTTTGTAAATCTAGTACATTATTTCTTTTATCCTTCAATTATGGTTATCATTATAACTATTATACAATACAATATTAAAATTGATTATTCATCAAAATAATTACATAACAAAGTACAGAAAGTATTGTTTCCCAAAGCAACACAACAGTTTGTATCTGCATCATAGGCGAAGCCTATATTTAATTAAGTATAGTGTTGGCCTTAACGGCCCTAACAAGACATGTTTCGGCAGTACTTCTCCCATCATCAGTTATCGTATTGCACACAGGCAATCATTTGTATAAGGGATAGAAAAAACCGTAAATATTTTACATATGAATAATAATAACATGAATATGAATAAAGATGCAATAAAAGCAGAGTATATATGCCAAAAGGGAGGAATGGAACGAACATAACGAAAAGTATAGAAAATTTAACGAAAAGCATGACGAAAAGGAAATCTCATGAATTCCACTATGTTTGTACATAAAAACTTCAAAAGAATTTTACTCCACACAAATCAAAATCCTCGTCAAAAGAATTGATAGATAGTTTTGGTGTAGTCACTATTTGATGATGGTTTGCAATGAAGTATAAGTGTTCTCTGGCACAAACACAGTCTCCATGTACTCATTTGCTTCATAATGTTCAATCCCAGCAGATTGTTTTCTTGGAAAAAATTTTTCATAAGCTCGGTCGCCTTCTTGGTCCATGGCTGCATATTCCGAAGGCTTATTAATATCTTCAATATGTCTTGGTTTGCTTTGATGGGGAAAAAATTCATTATAATATTTTTATATCAAAATAAAATAGTTCTAAACGATTAAAAAATTTAATTAAAATATTTTCAGAATAAATATATAGCTATTGTTATTTTATCTCGTGAATCTTTAAAGAATATTAATATTTTTTTAAGAATATAGTTGAGGATAACTTTTAAAAACATATCTGACACATGTTTTAATAATCGTTACCTTGTTAGTAATTCAGAACTCTTACTCTTAAATATAAAACTATTTTCATATTCATGGTCAGCTTCTGGATCAGTGCCTGTATCATCTGTACGTTTATTCACCGGTTTGCAATGTCTTCGTTTGCTTTAAAAGAACAATACAGCATCAATAGTATTTATATACAGTATTTATGTAAGAATTATGTGATAATTACCCACCTCATTATTACAGGTCAGTATACTAATAATCTATACTACTGAAAGGATATAAATTCAATTGAACTTTTATTCAAGGCAGGTCAACTAGACACCAGCCTAAATGCCCGCTTCGCTCGAATACCATATTATAGAACAGGTACCGTACCTATGAATTTTTTCTCCAGTAC